GGGGTGGCTATCACCGAAGTCGCCGCCGCCGTCGTCGTCGTCTGCACGATGGTGCTGAGCGTCGTCGTAACCTGGGCCACGCTGGTACTGGTCGTCGAACTCGAAGACGCCGCTGCCGCCACCCTGGGCACTGCCGTACATCTCCTCCCATCGATGGTTGTGAGGAACGCTCCCGCTGGGAGGTTATTCGATGCCATCTTTTCACTCTATTCCCTTTCACTAATCCTCGATCTCGAAATCCTAACTCGGCGATGCCAGTCGCGCTCACGAAGGGAAGGAAAAAAGGCCCGCCAAAATAAAAATAAAAATAAACACAAAACACAAAAACCGGGATCAAAAAAGAAGCGAAGAATGAAAATAGCCCTCAGGGCCGTTCTAAGTCATTGCAAAAAACATAAGGGCTTTGCTTGAAAAAGGAGGGGAGGAAAAGAAGAGTGAATGCCTCCTATCGAAGGAGAGAGAGAATGGCTAAACAAAGGAACAAACTCGATGTCGCGGCTAAACTCAGCAACACGGAACTGATGAAATTGGCGAGAATCAGATACCCAAGTCAGTCGTCGAGGGAAACGGGAAAGACTGGATGAAGGATTTGGGGATGCTGACGAAGAGGATGGAAGGGGGGGGGGGGGGCACGGTGCCTCTGACAACTACTCGCAAGTACGCATGCTAAGCAACGACGGCATGGTCTCGTCACCTCTTGAGAGTGAGCAGAGAAGAAGCAAAACACTTGGACACTTCGACGGCAGCATGTCCCGAAATGGACGGCTCTAACAAGAAGCACGGGCAGCATGAAGGTTGGCAAATGTTTGATGGACCCCTTGGTTTGACGCCATTGGCTGTCGACGACAACGCCGTTGACTTGGGTGTCGCAGAGGACCGAACAGGGAGGCTCTTCCCGCCGACTGGTTCCAGAAGTCAATCGGATGGTAAGCAGATGGGGGTGATCCCTGTCCTCTGACACGTTTGAGGCACCGCGGCTGCGGTTGCAGAAAAGGTTATCGATCGTGCGGGGAAGAAGACGATGCGTGCGGTGTCAAGAGTGACTTTACCCCCTTTGATGGAGAGAGCACACTTGAGAATTCCTTCATGAGCCACATGAATTAGCTATCCCGGAAATTCAAACGTTTGATGCGAATTGCTTCAATTCCAATTGATATTCTAATCCAGCGGTGCTGAATCTCCCTGATAGGAATGGTGAATCCAAAAAAACATCGCGAAGTTCTGGTTCCGAATGCAAGGATCAACAGGGGCTGGTTTGACATTGCAGCGGTTTGGCGATCTCTGAAACAAGCAACAAGTTCGGTTGTTGAGAGGGGGAAGCACAGACTTTTATACGTACTACACCTACGTCAGTCTTGGGACTGCTCTTTCCCTTTTCCAGGTTTGGATTAGCTGGTGGCGCCATCTCTTCCGTCACTGTTCTGGTGATTTTTGGGTTGGTGGAATCGGCAGACGGGGACTTGGACTGGCGGCCGAGTCCCCGGGCGGAGCTCATCGGACCATAAGTGACGGCTATTCCATCGGGGGCTGCTCCTGAATACTAGCTGCAATCCTTCATGTTCGAAATTGAATTTTTTTATAAAAAAAAAAAAAAAAAAAAAAAAAAAAATTCAGTTGCATCAGAGTTTCTTAAAGAAATGATCAAGTCGGAATGAAATGCCTGCATCCTGAAAATAGAGAAAAATTATTATTCCCCCTCCCTCCCCAAAAAGATCTAAAAAAATTGTCAAGGCAGTTGGCCGTGTCGGTGGTCGTCGAACAAGGGCCCGGAAGGCATGGTTGGTGGGCGAATGCACGAGCGGTTCATTTCGGACCGGGGCATACTATCTTATGCAACGCCAACGAATGCAATCTCCCCCGCTTCTTCGGCCCTCTGCGTGCTCCGCTACTCCCCACCCCCCCACGGCCACTGATCTTCAATGCCCCTCCAAACTTCCAACAGGAACCATCTTTGAACCGTGAGAGAAAAACTTTCCAAACGAGAGAGAGAAAGACGGGGTCGGGTTCTCAAGTGTTGCTGTTCTCCTGTTACGTGGGTGTTGAGAGCAGCGTTGGAAAACGTTACCTCGTCCTCAGTTGATGGTTATTTCACAATAACACGTAGTAAAGTCCAGAGGTCTGGACCCACGTTCATTCTCTCCCTCCCTCCCTCTCTTTCTCTCTGTTCATTCATTTCTCATTTCTTGTCTCTGATGCCCATCCAACCTACAGGTCGCCCAACATACGACGCACAGTTTCTGTCAGCCAACCAAATTAGCAGTCATACAAGAGCAGCAGCAGCTGCTGCTTATAAATAAAGATGTTTGGGAGTCTCCATGGTATGAGTAAGTAAAAGAAAAAGAATATATATAAGAAAAATTCACCCCGTTCTTGTGCGTACTCGGATCCCCGCCGTGCGACACAAACAAAAAACCGGGGAAACCCAGTTGATGATGGGCAATGCGGCGGCGGCAGTTGGGAACGGCTCTCGCACAGCTTCAATCCTTTAGAAACTCGATGGTGAAATATTGAGAATAGCCAGCCGTTTTTGACCAACCTTAAAGCCCGTTTATGCGGAACTTGGCGTCCGGGGTGGCTCTTCCCGGCCTTGGATCTTGTCTGATCTTCCTCGGTGCCGACCGGTCCCCATTTTTCTTTTTGTTTTCCGTTTGTTCTCTTCCAGTTCTAATCTGATCGTCTAGTCCCTAATGTGGCGCCGGCAAACGCAATTCGCCCTGAGGATGTTCCGCCTCAGATCCCCATAAACTTCCCGAGGTGTTATCCCCGTGCGCCGGAGCCCGAAACCTCCACCGAGGCCGGCCGATCAACTCCGCCCCGGCCCCAGAAGCCCGTGACTGCAGTATTACAAGGGATAGTCAGACCCACCGACTTCTCCATTGCGCACCTCGAGGCCCTGGGAGCCCACGTCATTCCGGACTCGGCCCTGGAGGACCTCATCCCGGACCCGGCCTACATTCCCGACTTTGCAGCCTGGGATGCCCTCTCAGCAGACGATGCCCATGCCAAAAATGAATCCAGCCGGAAGAGGCTGAACAACGGAAACCTGTCGCCGGGTTGCCAAACATATCTCGACCGCAAACGGGAACTTTCCATTGACAATGAAGCCGCATACCGCACCGTCCGGAGGTTGCCAGCCATCAAAGGCCAGCCCCAAGCCCGCCTGGGAAACGCATACGAATTCTACCGCCATCTGGAATTACTGACCACCTACTGGGACGACACGGCAAAGCCGTCGACTCCCGAGGAAAATGGGGATGCCACCACCGCGACCCCCACCGAGGGCGGCGAGACCCCTACTCCCGCAGAGCCCAAGTACTACCGCACAAGCACGGGCGACAAGATGCCTCCGGATTACCGCCAAATTATCATAACCGCCTTCCTCAAACTTGTGGCCTACGATTTCGGCTGCAACATCACCGCCCCGCGCACCGAACCCCGTCTCCTTCTCACCAACCCCATCTCCCCTACCACCAAAAGATCCCCTCGCCACTCCTACTTTCCTTCCGGTTGCACCTTCATCTTCCGGAGCCCGACCACTCGCGAAGCAGCTAGGGCAGGCATCGTCGAAGGTCCCGTCGCTGCCGTAAGCGCACGCAACACCACCAGTTTCCCGTCCCCTCCCTCGGATTCCGCCGAGGTCTCCTCGACCGACAGGGACTCAGTCCTAGACCTGGCCCGCGAACTCATTTCCGCGCTGGTGACAGCCCAGCATCGCGCCCGTGAAGGCCGCACCGAGAAACGCGTAGGCGAAAACGAGTGGTGGACAACCAAGCCCAGATGGGGTGGAGGTCCCGGCGGCCCCATCGGAAGAGAAATCGAAATGCAATCTGGAGCCGACGTGGCGGTCGGCGATAAAGACGCACCGCCGCCCCCCAGGCCCGCTGAAGCTGCCGACTCTGCGCCATCTGCCCCCGCCTTTCCCGGTAAAGCAAGAGGCGCTTTCGAATTTGGCAGTTCCCCTCTTTCCCGCCCTAGCCCTTCCTCTTCGTCGTCTTCGGGCTCCTCAAAGGGAGCAAAGCGTCTCAAGAAGTCCGGTAACCACCCCATGTACGACAACTACCGCATGATGCGGCCCCCAGCTTCTTTGTGGGACAAGAAGACCAAGTACACTGCTTTCGGCAGAGCTCGAGGGGCAGACTATGATGACATCTTTGTTGTTTCTTCACTGTTCCATCACGTCAGCATCTTGAGGGTACGGGTTCCGGACAGGTTGTTGCAGGCACTGGAAGGGAATCTGGAAGGGGAGGACTGGAAAGGCGGGATGAGCTGGGGGAAACTGGAAGTGAGGAGGAGCCCCTGGCTTGATCTTTTCAAGGTCGAGGATAGGTTGAAGGCTATGCAGCTTGTTTGGACTTTAATGATGTGGATGATGAGGGAGACTAATGCTGCGCCGGCCGCAGAGGGGCAAGCAAAGAAGGATGGGGAGGATGTGAAGATGGGCGGTGCGTAATGAACTAAAATGAGATAAACGGGTCGAAGGAAGAAGTATGGGGACAAGGCGAAATGGTTTGCTTCGGTGGAGGGGAAAATTCTATATATGACTGAGCGATGAAATTTTTGGCAAGTAAATTACAGCCGATAACTCGTAAACAAGAGAAACATTAGAGTACAGAAGAGACAAGTTGCAGATTCAAATATATGTGCATCTGTGCAACAAGACTCTAGGTGATTTATCTGTACATAAGTTACGCAACTACCTAAGGTGATAGCTCAATGCCCTCAGGTAATACACTTTACCATCCTTTTTTCCCCTCTGCCTTCCAAACCAGATCAACATAGTCAGCAGTTTCAATGTTTATTTTTTTTTTTTTTTAATAAAACTATCATTCACAATGAATGCAAAGCAATTCTGCTAAAATAAATCTGAAAAATCCCCACCTACTGTTATCATCTATATATCTAGTCTAATTAACTACGCTCCAAGTTCAAGTTGTGTAAAAAAAGGGGAGGGGAGGGGAAAGAAGATCAGAGGGGAAAAAAAAAAGGTCAAAAGATAAATGCGACAACTACAGGATTCGAACCTGTGAGGGCGAACCCAACAGATAGCAGAATAAGTAAATTCTAAAGAGTATAATCCAGAAATTTATTCAAGTCTGTCGCCTTAACCACTCGGCCAAGTTGTCCACGGTTAATAATTTTCGTAAATTTTGTTTCAAACTTAGAGTTATATAATTTCATATACTTTTTGCTATTCCCCCCCTTCACCCTATATCTTTTCTCATACGAATCAGCGCAATGGAGAATTAATCATCCACTCTTGCTCTGTTTTTTTTTTTCTCAAAATGATACAATCATGATTTGAAAAATTCTCAAATGCTAGTATCTGGCATAAAATGGTTCTGTCAGTTTTGGTTTATTGTGTCAGAGTAAAATGCACAACTGCAGTAACAGGGAAAATCTGTCATACGCAGACAGGTATGTATGTACGTTACAGCACGTATCATTTTCCGAGATCCTCCTTGCCGTCCTAATTTTGCTTTTGTTTGAAAGACTGTTTTCCCTTGGTTTCTTTCTCCCCCTTTTCTGGGTATCTTTTTGATCGGCTCACCTTCTTCTGCTTGCTCCCTCCACTCCCCCATGTTCAATCAGAACACTCAACCCTCCCTAATAAAGAAATTGACACCCATCGTCGTCTCTGAGCCCCGGTTGCATCATTCAATGGAAAACTCATACTGCGAATGCACGCCCCATCAATGCTTCCGCCCCCCTCCTCACCCGCCTTCTCCTCCCCACAAACAATCACAGCGCACTGTACCTCCTCTCCCATCCCTTTCCCCTCCTCCCTGAATTCCTTTCCATTTCCTTCCCTAGCCTCGTTTTCTACCCACGTGCTTTCCATCACTCAAGAACCCCCTTTCCCGACCACAAATCCCCTTTTCCGTTTCCAACCACAGTAAAAGAGACTCTCGGACTCCTTCACGCCCGCTTCAGCCCGTCAACGATCCTCCTCTGCTCCTCCAGAGAAAACATGCCGGTCCCTTGCTGCAGCGCGGCGACGAGCATCTGCACCGCCGTGTCCGCCTTGAAATCGTCCGCGTTTCGCACCTTGTCGAGATCCTCGGCGAACTCCTTAGTCGCGCGCTGTAGGTAGTAGGAAGTGAACTCTGACTGCACCTGGTCGTCTGTTTTCCTTGGGGCGGGTTCAGGCGATGAGGAGAAGGAAGAAGAAGAGGAGGAGGGCATGATGATTCTTTTTTTTTTTTTTTTTTTTTTTTTTTTAAAATTTAAAAAAAAAAAAAAAAAAAGGAAATAATAAACTTAAAAACTGTAGAAATGAATTGAAAAAAAAAAAAAAAAACCTGTTTCAAGGTTCCGTTTTTAGTTTTAGATTTTTCCCTCTTTATATTTTTTTTCCTAAAAAAAAAGAGAAGGAAAAAAATATTAATGTAAATGTTTGGTTTGAGAGTATGGTTGCTTTGCCTTGTTGGCTTGGAAGTTTGTTTTATTTAGTTTAATGTTTTTTTTTTTTTTAAAAAAAACTTCGAATTAGAAATGAAAGTCTTAAAAAAATTTTTAAAAAAAAAAATTTCCTTCACTGCCTACCAGGCATCCCCACCTTTTTTTAAAACCACAAGTTTACCTACCTACCTACCTTGTTACCTACTCTGTCCTTTTCAATAAGGCAATCAACCTTTTCTTACAACCAATGGATTTCAACCCCCATTCACTGTTTCCGAACAGGTCTGAGAAAATAGTAAAATACTAGTAACGCTATTAATCCTGTACTGGGTTCTATTGGATCTATTCCAATATATGATTGCATCTTTGAAAAAGAAAAAAAAAACCCCAAAAAAAACTCTCAAAAAACCATGATACAGTGTACCAACCCTATACATCCCAATATATATATAATTTACTCATAACTTTCAACCCATCAATTCTCATACAAGAAACATGAAGAAGCAAAACACTTGTATACATGAACGATATCTATCGTGTGGAAAAAATTATTCATTTGTCGCCTTTTTTTTAAACGAAAAAACAAAGCTCGTCAAATATAAAAGTATTCCAAATATACAAAAAAAAAAAAAAAACCAAAAAAAAAAAAAACCGAAAAGTATAATCTCTCTCATTTTTACACCACCATCACCCCCAACCCCCCCTCCCCTAAGATTTCCCCATTTCCCCATTCCCTCATCTACTGCCCCCTTCCGGCCGTGTCCCTCTGTCTCATCACATAAAGTGACGTCCAACAAATAAAGTCACTTATTGGGTACCGACTCGAATCTCAACAAGTCATCCAAAAAAGAAAAAGGTTCCGATTATATGTATTATTAGCGTATGCGTACAAATATTTCTTGACCTCCAAACCACAAAAGAACCACCCCCCACCCCCAACTCCAAGTTAATAACGGCCTATGCACCCCTCCATTTTTCTGTGTACAAACAAGCACCCCGATCATCCATAAAAGAGATAATACAAAATACTCATAAAGCATATCCCAAGTTTCAAAAACTTCCATAACCATCGCCCCCTGCAATGATAGATTCAACATTTCGCCCGATAGTAAAAAGGAAACAACCCCAAGAGAATGGTTTGAAGAAAAGAAACAGAGGGGGAAAAAAAAGTATCGATGTAGTAAGTATGCGGGTAGGTTAAAGACGGCGACGATAATGATTGTGTGTGTGGTATCCGTGTTCCCTCCAGCCGTCCGTCTGTTCATCCCATTACCCTCCCAAGAGCCCAAATGAAAACAAACCATTGTATTAAACCTACTCCTTTTCACAAGACGGCAACCGGGTGTCATGTGTGGATCTCATCTTGTAACGATAACGGAAAATCCGTCCACCCAAGGCCCGCAGCTTCCCGTAACACCGCAGATGTTGTATCCTCGGGGCGGTATTAACGTATGACTAGAGATAACCAAAGTTAGCTTCGGAAAACCAGAATCCGACTTTCGACGAGACCAAAAAAAAAAAAAAAAAAAAAAAAAAAAGAGACATACCCGTCGCCTCCATGAGCATTGCCATACAAAGGCGACTTCCTCCCAAGGCTCGTCAAAACTTGAATGCCGTCGATCCAGTAGCCAGCTCGGACGTAAAAGCCAGTAATGTACTCTCCACGTCGGATATCTACACGTTCCCATGGAAATCAGCATGATTCGAAACCCAACAAGTATAAGTGAACAAACATACCCATGTCAAAAACGTCACCACCAGGTTTCCCCCCTCTCTTCCCAAAGAGTTGTCTAGAATCATCATCATAAACAAACTCGATCCCATCAACCGCAAGCCCGTGATAGAAAACGATCTTCGACAAGACCCGGTCCTGCCTCAACGCACTCGTAAAGACAAACTCCTGAGGCTCACTCCCTTCCATCTTTGAAGCTCCCAATTTCTTACCCTTGTAAGCATTCTTGCTCAAACCGGGAACCGCACTTGGCAGCTTCAAACAGGACTCCTTGCTCGAACACAACTTATTGTAATCCTCAATATCCAGCGATCCACCGCCGTGAGACTTTACCGAAATCTTCAACCTCCCTTTCCTCTTATCCTCAGGCAGCCGCCCTCGCAATTCCTGCTCACTAAGCGTAACAAGTCGTTGAATACTTCCGTTTTCAACAGGATACTCAATCCAAGCGCGACAAACATCGTCCCCTTCCCCAAAAATCTCCACAAACGAAACTCCAGTTGCAGCCATGATGGTCAAACCATCTACCGGCCAAGCCTGCACGCTGTCATCGGAATTCATCACCGCATCATTAGGCAACCGAAAGCACGGATGGCTGCGGAAGCGCAGACAGTCCAGTCTGTGCCAGGTGCACTCGTCCGCCTGCGCAACGGGGCCGCCCTTGGACTTTCTGCGCGTAGAGTATGCCTCCTTCGACAGAAACGTACGATTAAGAGTGACGTAGTCCCGTAGCATGACCCCGCTCTCCTGGTGCGGCAAGCCGAGCAGGTGGCCAGTCTCGTGCAGATGGGCGCCGATGCCTATATTGGCCGCCTCCCAGGAACAACCCGCATCGTTGCAGTCATTGCCGACATGATTGGTGTCAGTTGGCGTGCAGTCAGTAAACGCCGGAACCACCTCCTCAAAGCTCGTAGGGTAGCTCTGCAGGCAGTGCGAACCGAATATGCCCAGATGCAAGTCTCCCACCTGCCCACCCAAAGCCGCGTGACCGACGATCGTCTTGGAGCTCGTGTCCCAGTGCGCGTCCACGAGCAGCACCGACACGTACAACTTCTGCCCCGGCAGCGGCTTAAAGTAGTCGCGCACCGCATCGGCCGCAATGCCGTATAAGGCTCCCTTGTCGGAAGCATTCGGGTTCTGCTGCGCTCGGTTCAAGTCTCGGAGCTCTGCCAATGTTTTGTCTGATCGAATGATATGGATACGTGCTTCAGACCGGAGCGTGCCGTACTCCCTATCCCTATGATTTGCTGTGCCCGCCGTCCACTCCTCTTCGAACCTAAACACGCGACGACCAAATTTGTTCCGCCACATCTGCTCAGCGGTAAATGCCTGCCAGAGGTATGCCGCCATGCGGAACTTTCGGATTGCAGTGTCCAAACCGTTACCCTCCTTCTCAATCCGCGCAGGTACCGCATCAAAGGTGCCGGGGGAGTCCTTTGCGAGCAAAATGGCCAGCTGCAACGGAGGAGCACCAGAGGGGGGAATCATGTGAACCGTCAGATAAGAGGCGTGAATGGGATTTGAAGAACCGCTATTTGCAAGCTTCGGACTCGAGAAGTCCAGACGCAGGCGATTGGCCCCAGGCATCATATACACCAGGGCCTTGAAGTGTGAGCCGCATACTGGCCACGATATGGGCGGAAAGTTGTCATCCAGCCGGCTCACCGTCACGGTTCCGTCAATTGATTGGTGAGATGGATCACCAACTGTACCGTTTATGAGCAAGACTTTTTGGTAGACCTGTCACGGCCCGGTGTTAGTATAAAAGCATTGAGACACGGCGCAAACAGACAGGCACCCGGGGGGCATTGCTCACCCATGTGTTTTCTTGCACATTGGTCACCCTTGGAGAGTACTGAGACACGGGCAAGGTTGGAGACACCTTTCCGCTAGGAATTGGAGACCCGAGACCTGCCATTCCAGACACGCTGTAACGATTGCTGCTTCCGTTCAGATAAGGTTGCGGAGCAGGTCTTTTTAACGGAGCAGAAG